TCTGATTATAAAATAATTATTTTCTTAAGAAGTAAAAGTGGTAATAATAAGGTTTAATCTCTCAATTTTGTTTTTACTCTTCACCAATAGCTATTTTCTGTGAATTATAGCCTGGAGCACAGCCACTGAAAAAAAAAAACCATTTTGGGCCAGGCATTTTATGCCTGTAATCCCAGTACTTTGGGAGGCCGAGGTGGGCAGATCACTTGAGGTCAGGAGTTTGAGACTAGTCTGGCCAACATGGTGAAACCCTGTCTCTACTAATAATACAACAAAAAAATTAGATGGGCATGGTGGTGCCTGCCTGTAATCCCAGCTACTTGTGAGGCTGAGGCAGGAGAATTGCTGAAACCTGGGAGGTGGAGGTTGCAGTGAGCCAAGATCACACCACTGCATTCCAGCCTGGACGACAAAGCAAAACTCCGCCTCAAAAAAAAAAAAAAAAAAAAAAAAGGCAAAACAAAAAAAAAACAGTATCTTCAATTCAAATTCTAAAAAGCACAAGTGAATTTTAGTTTGCAAGTAAATCTTTGTAGACCAAATATGTTAATGCCTGCATGAATTTAAGTAAAAGCTGTTCTGTGAGAATTATAATATTGTTATTTAGAAGAATATACTAAGAGGAAGCAGACTGATAATTTGTCATTTAATAGATTATCTAATACTGTAGGATAAAGGCAGCTTATTGGAGAAATAACTTTTAGATTATTTTCTTGCACAGTTTACAAAATTCAGTTAAAAAAAAATTGTCCAGTAATCCCTCACTTACCTGTGAAATATGAGCTCTTTATTTCTTCCCTTCAAATTTAACAGCTTTTTCAAAACTTTGAACTTTATTTTTTATTGCTGACAAGTTGCTAGGATAGTACAAATAACTCCTAAATCTCTTCATCCGGAGTCATCAATTATTATCATTTTTCTACATTTCTCTCCTCTTTTTCTATATATACATATATGTAATATTTTTTCCTTTTTCTTAAAGCACTTGAGACTTACTTGCAAATATCTTGCTTCTTTACCTTTAGAGTACTTGTTTTTGTTACTCAGATTACCTTCAGCTATGAGGCTTGTAAGCCTTTCTGGTAGTTTTATTGATTTTTCCACTTTTAACAGCTTTACTGAGGTATAATTTAGATACCATACAGTTTATTTTAGACCGTGTTTTTATTCCTTCCTTCCTCTCACTGGCAGTTGCTGGTACAAATGGTTTCTTTTGGAGCTGATAAAGCTTCCTTATGAAATCAGCTGACCTACAGATGATGCCTTTTCTCTCAGAGAGCTTGGGTTGAGATTGACGCACTCCGCGGTTGCTAATGAACATTCTAAAGCAAAAGACCACGTTTTTGTCCAATTTTATGAATGTTAACTATTAACTCATTTGAACTCTGAAACACTCAACTTGTCATTTTACTATAGTGTAAAGATGACCATAGATCTAAAAGATATCATTTTTCTGAATTTTGACATTGAAGGAAGAAATCTGTTTTTAGAATTAAAAAATAAAGAACTCACAACTTTTAGGTTGCGTACTTCGTGCTGGAGTAGCATGGACGATGTTTGGAATGGCCGACCCTCTGTTGCTTTCATTTGGGTTGTTTGCTTTTTTATTTAAAAAATATATTGCTTGGCGATCAGTGCATTTTTGTTGACTTAATAGTTGTATCTAAACTATTATAAAGTCAAACTATGCAATATGTAACTCCTACTTACATATTTCTCTTTTTTCCTCACAGGGATGAATTGTAAAGGCAACATCAGCTTGACCAGTCTATAAAATTACAGTGGATTGCTCATCTCAGTCCTCAAAGCTTTTTGAAAACCAACACCATCACAGCTTGTTTTGGACTTTGTTACACTGTTATTTTCAGCATGAAAATGTGTGTTTTTTTAGGGTTTCTGATTTTTCAAAGAGGCACAGAGCCATATTGGTAGAGGAAGGATACAAAGTACAAATGTGTGTATTATTACTTTAACATGCCCATATTTTACTTGGAAATATTAAAAGAAAGGGTTCTGCAGAATGGAAAACTTATTTTGTGAATTGATTTTGAGGAGTGGTTTTTCTTTTCTGGGACACTTAATTCTGTTCTGATATTAATTTATCAGATTGCTTTTGTGCATTGGATAACACCACCATTCACAAGTTAAGATTCTTGGTATTTGGATGTCTGTTAGATGCTACTAAGAAAATAGAGATGAGCTTTCTTTTTAAAGCTTTTGATGTGGTGTCATAGAATAGCATGTTGTAGATACAATCAGCCGCTTTGTTACCTTAAAACTAGGCATTTGTAAATACTAAAGCTTAAGATGGCAGGTGATGTCCTGTAAACACTCAGCTGTTCAGATTGGACATAACTGACTTAGTTCTTCCCTTCTTTCTCTCAAAATTATAGGAGACTTGGAGTTTAGTGTTGTTTTCTCTGTTCTAATTTGCTGCTGATAATGTATATGAACTTAACATGCTGTGTAAGCTGTGTCCTAGTTCTTGAACAGTTTATGCAGTGCTGCTTTGCCAAATAAAGTTAAAAGTAAAAGAGGCATTGGTTGTTTTTGAATGTAGAAGAAAGAACAGCAGGTCCACCAAATAGGGAATGTTTACAACCACAGGGGGAAAAAACTTATTTCTCTGATGTTTCCTTTTGTGAAGTCTGAGTAAGTAAATAGCATTAGTCCAACTGTACCCTGTAGAATGTGACTACACTGCTTCAGGGCCAGGACCATACTTCAATCATCATTTCTCTTTGACCACCTAGCACAGGGCTGGTCCTGTAGTAGCTGTACAATAAATGCTGATGAGTGAGTAGTGAATGAATTGACAGGAAAGAGCAGGAAAGAAGTCAGGAAAGAGGATTGAGGATGAACATACCAAACCCCATCTCTCACCTATAAATAGATTTATTAATATAATGACTATAACTGAATTTCTAAGAAGGCAGTAGCACTTTGGTATCTTATTTAAATGTTGTGGTTTATACCTGTTATAATAAGACCTTAGTTTTTCTAGGAGTTCTAGAATTGAGGAAATAAAAGCTCTAGAATGAGCAGAATCAGTACTCCCAGCAAAGCCCTTCTGCTGGAGGGGTGTGTGTGTAATTCTGGCAAAGAACCTTTGTGAGTGTGCGAGACACTCCCCCCAGCTCTTGAAAAAAGTCTTAAATATTACTTCTTTACAAATGGCTTTTAGGCTGGGTGTGGTAGTTCACAACTGTTCTCAGCATTTTGGGGGGCTGAGACAGGTAGATCACCTGAGGTCAGGAGTTCGAGACCAGCTTGGCCAACATGGTGAAACCCTATCTCTACTAAAAATACAAAAATTAGCCGGGCATGGTTGCAGTAAGCTGCGATTGTGCCATTGCACTATAGCCTGGGGGATAAGCGTGAAACCTCGTCTTAAAAAAAAAATTAAAAATAAATTTTTTAAAATGGCATTAAAATTATGCATACATCTTTTCACAAATGTCTCTTCTTTAGTAAGGTCTTAGCCACAGGAAACTAGCATTATTTGGTGCTCAAAACATGAGAGTTTAAGTTTATTGTTGGCTTCAGTTTGCTGCTGTTTATTGCTTCTATACTCAGGCCATGAACCCCTGTGGTTCAGGATTAGTGCATTTGAGGTAGTTGTAAAAGTCAAATATTCTTTACAATTTAAATTAATTCTTAAATGTATCCATTAGTCTGTGTCTTTCATAGCTATTGCCAACATTCTACTATATGTGAGTCTTTATGTTTGGTTTTGGGGATAGAAAAAGGCCCTTCCTCTCAAGGAGTCTGAAGTCTGTTGAGACAATTAGAGAAATATGGTAAGACAAACTTACTGCCACCTGATTAGTACAGACAGTGCTATGCCTTCAGCAGTGTTCAAACACTGCTCTTGAACTCTACATGTTTGTGAATTTGAATTTTAGAATATTGAATAAACAGGAATGGGCTTTAAAGGAGCATGAATAGGTAGAAATGGAAATAATGGATTTTAGCTATGCCTAAGAGTTTTTTACTGTAAGATCTATATATGTGTGCAGATTACAGTCAAGAAACGCTTCCTTAATCATCTTTAGTATTCATAATTTCTAAGACATTTCATTATGTCATTTTCCTTAATAGAAGTGATTCTTTTACATAATATGAAGGGCAACAATGAAAACATTTCAAAAAGTTTCAGTCAGTGTAGTGAGATCCTCTTGAAAGGAGATTTTTTGTTTCCTACAGATTTGGTTTTGTTAAAGGCCAAATCAAGCTTTCAAAAAAATTTACGTAACCTTGGCCAAGCATGGCGGCTCACACCTGTAATCCCATCACTTTGGGAGTCTGAGACAGGAGGATCGCTTGAGGCCAGGAGTTCTAGACCAGCTTGAGCAACAAAGAGAGATCCTGTCTCTATAAGAAATAAAAATTAGCCAGGCATGGTGAGATGCTCCTATAGTCCCAGCTACTTGGGAGGCTAATGCAGGCGAATTGCTTGAGCCCAGGAGTTTGAGGCTGTAGTGAACTGAGTGCACCACTGGACTCCAGCCTGGACAACAGAGTAAAATCCTGTCTCTCTCTTTAAAATAAAATTGTTTTTTTTCCTTCTCCGTTCCAGTAGAAATCTAAGAACTCTATCTCTTAAAACAAAAACAACTTATATAATCTAAGCCTGAATTAGGAATATCAGCTTTTTATTGAAGGTTTCAACTCTTCCAGCCAGTAACATTAGAAGAAAATGACATTCTGGGGGAAAACAATCCATTAACATTGTTCATTCAAGTATTTTATTTATTTATTTATTTATTTATTTTTGAGATGGAGTTTCACTCTTGTTGCCCAGGCTGGAGTGCAATGGTGCGATCTCAGCTCACTGCAACCTCCGCCTCCCAAGTTCAAGCGATTCTCCTGCATCAGCCTCCCAAGTAGCTGGGATTACAGGCATGTACCACCACAGCCAGCTAATTTTGTATTTTTAGTAGAGATGGGGTTTCTCCATGTTTGTCAGGCTGGTTGCAAACTCCCAACCTCAGTTGATTCACCCGCCTTGGCCTCCCAAAGTGCTGGGATTACAGGTGTGAGCCACCGAGCCCGGTCTCATGCAAGTATTTTCAGTTCCACTGCCCTAATTTTAAAAACTGCCATTGTTCAAAAAACGTTCACTGAACTTTGAAAACTGGTATATAATGTACCTAAAGCATCTTAAAAAATCAATTGATCTAAAATACAATAACATTTTTGAGTAATAATGCTCATGAATTCTTTGAAGCTATTCTTGGTGATTGTCAACCAGGAAACAAAGCTGCTTAGTTTTGTTTCATTAGCCAGGTGAGTATTTTTGGTTTTCACCTAAATGTTAACAAATTTTCAAGTAGTTTGATATGTTATTAAAATAACTTACACAAGTATGGCAACTGAACACTAATATTGTAAATGAAATAAATGGATTATTTTTAGTGTTCTAAATAGGATTCAGAGGCTAATATTTTAGGTAAGTGCTAAAATTCTTGTAGGTATAAATCATTTCCTACAACTTATTGTGTTCTTAAAGAACTGAACAATAAGACACATCAGTTCTGATTGGATTTCAGTTGGATCTCTGGATTCCTCTTACCATTTTTCAGAAAGGTGACAGTGTTTTGTCCTCGCTGAACCTAGCATGTAGCTCAAATAGGGTGCTGGTGAAAGAATCCCACTTGAGAAAACGGGCTGACCCAAGGGGCCAAGAAATGTATATGCGTTATAATATGATAAAAAGGAAATCAGGCCCGGTGCAGTGGCTCATGCCTTTAATCCCAGCACTTGGGGAGGCTGAGGTGGGCAGATCACCTGAGGTCAGGAGTTCAAGACCAGTCTCACCAACATGGCAAAACCCCATCTCTACTAAAAATACAAAATTAGCCGGGCGTGGTGGCACGCACCTGTAATCCCAGCTACTTGGGAGGTTGAGACAGGAGAATTGTTTGGACCCAGGAGGCAGAGATTGCAATGAACTGAGATCATGCCACTGCACTCCAGCCTGGGCAACAGAGTCAGACTCCATCTCAAAAAAAAAAAAAAAAGTCCAATAATTTCCTTATCCTTCTAATATCATTGCTACAATAATGGTTGTTGGTTCCCCACTTGCGGCTTCATCTTTTTAACTGACTTTGTATTGTTTCATCCAGGATTCTCTGTGAAATGGCCCTTTGCTTGGTGGGAGAGAAAATGGGAGTAAAATCTGACTTTCAATTCCCACATAGTGCTGTGCTGTGTTAGGGGGCCCCCAGAACCTCTGAGGTATGTTTCTGTCTGTCCCTCCCCTTACCCACCTCAGTTTTTCCTTGTCTTTCCACCTCCCTGGCAGAAAAAAAAAAAAATGCTGAAGTCTCACAGATTGCAGTTCATGGTTCTGATTTCTTTATTCTTTACACAAATCTCTAAATACATTTAGAGATTTATCAAGATCTCTAGTTTCATCTGTAGAATTGTTTTAAGAATGCTACCTTTTGATTCATTTGGATTTTTGAGTCTTTGGACATACGAAATGACTGTATGAAAATGAATGAGGAGCACCTTTTTAAAAAAAGTCCATACACTAAACACAATTTTCCTGAGCTTTTTTTTTTTTTTTTTTTTTTGAGATGGAATCTTGCTCTGTAGCCCATGGGGGAGTGCAGTGGCACAATCTCAGCTCACTGCAACCTCCACCTCCTGGGTTCAAGCGATTCTCCCACTCAGCCTCCCGAATAGCTGGGCTTTACAGGCACGCCACCACGGCTGGCTCATTTTTGTATTTTTAGTAGGGAGGATTTCACCATGTTGGCTACGCTGGTCTCAAACTCCCGACTTCAGGTAAGCCACCTGCCTCAGCCTCTCAAAGTGTTGGGATTATAGGCGTGAGCCACTGCACCCGGCCCAATTTCCCTAAGCTATTTTTGTAAAAGTTAAAATGATTTTTGCATTAAAATATTTTGAGACGTTTCCTAAATTTTGAAATAAACTTATAAAAAGATTTAAGCTGAATAAGTTGATCTCTTTCCAGTTTGCAGGGTGATGACAAAACATGATTTTAAAAACATATAATTTGATAATTAAAATAAGTCAAAAGAAAGATATGCTTAGACCTAAATACAGAAATATAGGAGAAGGCTTAGTTCTAACCGATCACTTCTCAAAAACATTCAGCTTTGGGATGTCTAACCTTATTTTTGTCCTTGGTGGTTTCCCATTTAGCTGGAGAATCTGTGTTTATCTGCTAAAGTAGCTATAACTTAAAATATTCATTTTATTTTTAGAATACTAGAATCCAGTAGGTCGGAAAATGGGGACAGGAATTGAGAATTCTGCAACAGATGCTTAAAAAGCCAATGAGATGAGAAAATTGTGAATGGCAAACTGCAAACTAAGCTTTTTTCCCTCTTTGTATTCAGCTTGGGCAGTTCTTTGTTAGAAATTTTCATTCAATTTTAATCCGAAAAACTGTAGAAAACCTAGGGTCCAGAAAACAAAAAACTGAAGTAATTCCGCTAGGAACAAAGTGGCATCCTCCACTTTGAGAAAAAACAAAAAAACAAATTGTTTTGGGACATTATAATTGAACTCAATAAGGAGCTCAAATTATAGAATCTCAGGCTCAGATGCTGTGTTAGAGGCATCATCAACATGAAGTTGGAAAACGTCAGAAGGTAAGGATGGCGGCTTGTGTCCTGGGGCACAGCACAACTCGGTTTACACAGGTGAAGTAATCAACAGAGTGTGCCTTGAACAGCAAAATGGAAAGGCAAATAGAAATATGCATTTCAGCCAGGCGTGGTGGCTTATGCCTGTAATCCCAGCACTTTGGGAGGCCAAGGTGGGCGGATCACCTGAGATCAGGAGTTGGAGACTATCCTGGCCAACATGACAAAACCCCGTTTCTACTAAAAATATACAAAACTTAGCCGGCATGGTGGTGCATACCTGTAGTCCTAGGGAGGCTAAGGCATGAGAACTGCTTGAACCCGGGAGGTGGAGGTTGCAGTGAGGTGAGATCACACCACTGCACTCCAGCATGGGCAACAGAGTGAGATCAGTCTCAAAAAAAAAAAAAAAAAAAAAAAAAAAAAAAAAAAAGAAAGAAAAAAAACCTCTATGTGTGGGTCAAAGGAAAATCTATAAAGAGCAATGTGAACAGCCATCAGTGACTGAAAGGAGGTGTTGCTGAGCGGGACTGAGTTGTGGGGCCAGATCACAGGTTTTGAAGTCACTGGGAGCCAGATGAAAAAAATCCTGGTACTTTCCTATGAAAGAGAATGTACTGGGTACTCAGCTGATATGAAACAGTAAAATGCTTATGGAAGGCTGGAGGAGTTGCTGCTGTCTACTAAGAATGAAAGGAAAAATTTTTTTTTTTTTTTTTTTTTTGAGAAGGAGCCTCACTCCCAATCACACAGGCTGGAGTGCAGTGGTGTGATCTCAGCTCACTGCAACCTCTACCTACTGGGTTCAAGTGATTCTCCTTCCTCAGCCTCTCAAGTAGCTGGGATTACAGGCGTGTGCCACCACGCCTGACTAACTTTTTTTGTATTTTTAGTAGAGGGGGGTTTCACCATGTTGACCAGGCTGGTCTCAAACTCCTTACCTCAGGTGATCCACCCACCTTGGACTCCCAAAGTGCTAGGATTACAGGCGTGAGCCACTGTGCCCAACCAGGAAAAAGTTAAGTTTTAAGTGTTCAGGAAGGAGGTTTAAGTGAGCCTTAAGAAAAGATGTAAAATACACGAACACATTTAAGAGAGAAACTGTGACACCCTTCCCTTTAAAATTATTTTTCAATTGTCTTAAATGCAGAACTCCTTCAATCAGATAATCTACAGGGAAGATTACTTTTTTTTTTTTTTTTTTTTTTGAGACGGAGTTTCACTCATGTTACCCAGGCTGGAGTGCAATGGCGCGATCTCGGCTCACCGCAACCTCCGCCTCCTGGGTTCAGGCAATTCTCCTGCCTCAGCCTCCTGAGTAGCTGGGATTACAGGCACACACCACCATGCCCAGCTAATTTTTTGTATTTTTTTTAGTAGAGACGGGGTTTCACCATGTTGACCAGGATGGTCTCGATCTCTTGACCTCATGATCCACCCGCCTCGGCCTCCCAAAGTGCTGGGATTACAGGCTTGAGCCACCGCGCCCGGCCCTACTTTTTTTTTTTAATTTTTCTTTTTGAGACAGAGTCTTACTCTGTCACCCAGGCTAGACTATAGTGGCACCATCTTGGTTCACTGCAACCTCTGCCTCTCGAGTTCAAGTGATTCTCTTGCCTCAGCCTCCCGAGTAGCTGGGACTTACAGGCACATGCCACCACGCCTGGCTAATTTTTTTTGTATTTTTTTTTTAGTAGAGATGGGGTTTCACCATGTTAGTCAGGATGATCTCCATCTCCTGACCTTGTGATTCACATGCCTTGGCCTCCCAAAGTTCTGGGAGTACAGGTGTGAGCCACAGCACCTGGCTGTAAAATCACTTTTAAAGGTCACATTCAGTCTACCTGGTAATATAAATATTTCATAGACCTTGATTCTCCTTCCCTCCAGAATGCTTTATGTGGCCCTGGGGGAGTCACTTTCTCTAATACTTTATTTCCCTCATTGTAAAATAGGGCTGATATGATTGAATCCAAATAATACAGTAACAGCTCAGTCAATAATAGCAACTTATGATTATATTAAAAGGTAAAAAAGGCTAATAATAAAATACAATTTATTAAAGGAATCATGTTTACAAAGATACAGGACATTTTTTTCTCAGATATTTCAACACCATAGCAACACGAAATTAATTTCTTCATGTATAACAGATATGCTGAAAGCTGCATGCCTCATCAATTTTTATTTTATTGGTTATGGCTATAGGTGACATCTTTCCATATAAAAACAAACTGTACAGCATCACATACAGAGTACAGACATCTTAAGTTCATTCACAAAGCTCATTTTTCTAAACTGCCCTTCAAAAATTTAAATCTTTGCCCAATTCTAAACATTCAACAAAATTAGCTTCTCAAGAAACAAAAATGATACCCAATTTCCTTGTTTTTCTAGAACTAATTTTCCATTTGTTCATGTATTTTGATATATGTTATAGTCCCCACCCAAATTAAGCCCTTTGCTAAAAGAACAACCTACTTTATGTTCAGTCTAAAAATAAACTGTACTAGACTCTGGGGTGTTTTTCAAATATTTTAAAATATTTGCCACTTATGGTAAAAAAAAATCATGTAAATAGGAACATCATGTGACTGTAGATAGGCACCATGCTATACATTCCTCTCAGAATTATTTCTAGAATTTGTATAATCCTGGCCTTAAGTGATGGTGGGAATGATTTGCCTTTAAAAGCCTACAAATTAAACTGCACGGGAGACTGAGGCAAGAGAATCGCTTGAACCTGGAAGGCGGAGGTTGCGGTGAGCCAAGATCACACTACTGCACTCTGGCCTGGCTACTACAAGACTCCGTCTCAAAAAAAAAAAAAAAAAATTGGCTCATTCCATTGGATGAAAGACATGATGACATATTTACAAAAGCTGTATCCAGAAATCCACTCAATGTCCTTTTTTCAATTTGCATTTTTCTCTTTCATCAACAAAGGCTATATATATAAATGAGCTGCTGTGCTTTCAACCATGGAGCCATGTTGACTTGATGTATGAAGTATTAAACGTTCTCCTTGCTCTCTTTGCCCTCAACTAAGTTTCTGTTTGTTTTTGGCATACCAGATTCTCTGCTTCCATCTTGATTTCCTATCTCACTGCATCACCATCTTAGAGCTGTTTCTAATTCAAAGTCTGGGTATTTTTTTCTCCCAAAGGTCAGTCTAAGGAGGCAGCCATCTATGAGACATGACATCAGAGGCACTGGGAAGGATCCACACTCATCTTCCCCGAGGCTCACTGACCTGTACATAAGGTTTATAAATTTAGGTTTATCCGCTATAAGTAACATCTGATTGAAGGCATGAACTTGCTTGAGATCCACTCTCAGAAATGGGTTTAGAGGGGGAAAAGAAGAATATTGGAGCTTAACGGAGGAAGGAAAGGGCCACAGAACAAGGGGGAGCTGTGCCTAAAGTGGTCCAGCATTGGAAGGGGCCAACGGTTGGCTTCTAAAAAGTAAAGGATTAACACAGTCATCCTAAAATCAACTCCTGAGATGCTGAATTTTCTGTCTCAGCTAAGTACAAATTTCTGTTTTTGGGGAATGCTTACATAAATCAGAATTATATTTTTAGAAATCTTTAATCATGAATTCCTCTCTAAATTTCAAGATATTTTATGACTTTCTAAGGAATATTTTTTTTACAATAAATAATAAAGACAAAGATTTGGGATTTGCAGAATTTTCTGGCCCAATTAAAAACAAGAGTCTGTAAATATCTAGAACTTAATAGATGTATAGATTATAAACAAAACATGTCCTTGCCCCAAGCTCTTTAAATTACATTACTATAGATACATCCCATTTATGAGGTAGTCCGATTCCTCAGATGTAATGGGACGAGCTTTTTTAAGTTTCTGTTTCACCAGTCGTAGTCGGCACGCAACCATGAGAAGCAGCAGAGCAGTGATGGCCAAACCCAGTGCCAGGGGTAGCACTGCACCTGTGAGAAGGTTAGACATGAAGAGGGCAAGCCAGTGATTAGTCACAGTGACAGCTACTGGTCACTATATGGTAAGTGCTTTGCACGCACTATTTTATTTAATCCAAACAACTCAAATTGGTATTAGTATTACCACCATTTTGCAGATTAAGGTGTAGCGAGGTTAAGTAATTTGCCTAGGAGGTTGTAAGTTGTAGGTCCAGGTCCCAAACCCAGACCTCTTTAAAACCAAATTCTGTACCAGCTTCCTATAAAACTCACATGGCATCAATGCGTACACACATTACCATCTGATTACTCTTACTGAAATAGGCATTCTGATCACAGGGAATTTTTTTGTTGTAGTCATCATAGACTATATGAATCCATACATAATCATTCTCCAATTAAGTATGAATGAACTCCTGATTTCTTTTTCTAGTTAGGGCTTAAGAAATTTATTTCCTTTTCTAAATCCAGGGAACCGACTCAGTCAGTAGAACCTTTGTTGAAAACTAACTTCCAAATATGCTGGTGTGATTTTGGCCATTAAAGGAAAACATTTCTTTAGTTTTTCCTGTGAGGCAGATCCTAGACACCAGACTAGAAGTTGCAAGGCTTGCAGGAGTCTGGGAGGGACAGGGTGTGCCAAGATCAGTCTTTTTTATCAAGCTTAGCAGGCTCTATTTTTAGTCTGATCTACTCTGCAGCCAGGCCAGGTCTGGAGATGATATGGTGGAACTATTTTTAGCTGTAGGGATCTTGCCAACTGGTGGAACTAGAGGAGAAACATCTCCCTTGTGTAGACTTATTCTATAACATTTCCTCTCATTTATTCATTCAGTCTGCATTAATTAAAAGCCTTCTTCCATGTGCCAGACACTGAGCTAAGTGCTGATAATCCTTTTATTTGTAAATAAATACCCCCCCCCAAAGATAAGCTAATGCCAAGAGTACCAGCTTTATAGCTTAAATCATCGACTTCTCACAACCACATGAGTTGATACTTCTATTATTCCCATTTTACAAATGAGGGAGCTAAGCCATCAAGAATGAAGTGAGGGCCAGGCATGGTGGCTTAGGCCTGTGATACCAGCACTTTTGGAGGCAAAGGTGGGCGAATTGCTTGATCCCGGGAGTTCGAGACCAGCCTGGGCAACATGGCGAGACCTCATCTCTATAAAAAAATTAGCTGATTGTGGTATGCACCTGCAGTCCCAGCTACTTGGGAGGCTGCAATGAGCCATGATCAGGCTACTGCACTCCAGCCTGGGTGACAGAGTGAGAGCCTGTCTCAGAAAAAGAGAATGAAGTGAGGCTGGGCACAGTGGCTCACATCTATAATCCCAATGCTTTGGGAGGCTAAGGCAGGAGCATCACTTGAGTCTGGGAGGTAGAGGCTTCAGTGAGTTCTTAAACTGTATGCCAGCCTGGGTGACAGAGTAAAACCCTGTCTAAAACCAAACAAACAAAACACTGAAGTGGCTTGTCTAAGGCTGTAAGTGGTAGAGCTAGTATATAATCCCAGACAGGACAGCCCCAGAGCCTGTGGTTTTAACCATAATGGCACTAAGGTACTCTACTTTTGCAAAATGTAAATGAGACGGTTTTTGAATGACTAAGTCTGGGTTGATAAACATTTAAATGGGAAAAAATGCAACACAGTGTTATAGTTACTATGATAGAATTATATGTGAAGTATAGATGTATTAAAATAGGTGGTATATCTATCTGGTCTGTAGGATTTTTGCTTGAGGGTTTTGACGTATGCTAGAGATTGTTGGGTGGCAGAAGGATATAAGTTTATTTTTTGACATTTTCAGATTGAGATGCCTGGAGGCGATCAGGTGAAATTTTCTCTCAGGCTCTTGGGTTATCTAGGCCTAAATATGTGGGAGTCTTTAGCATAAAGGTGGTAGCTGCAGTCACGAAAGTGGGTAGGACAGCCAGAGAGAAAGGAACAATAAAGGAGAACCAGGAACAAGGTCCTGGGAACCAACTTTTAGAAGGCAGACAAAAGAAGAGGACCAAAAAGAACAGAAAAAGACCAGTCCGAGAAATAGGAGGACAATCGCTATAGCAGTGAGCGGGGGTTTTTAGGAGAGACACTAGTCCAAGAAGAAAGTGCTCAGCTGAATCAAATACTAACGAGAGGTCAAGTGAGGTGAAGCCTGGAGAGCCCACTGGATTTAGCAGCTGGTAATCCATTTATGGAAGGACAGAAAATGGAGGGATGCTACTTTGTTTCTTTACATATTAACAGATCTGAATGTGATCACAGTCAGGGGAATGAGCCAGCAGAGAAACATTAAAAGCGTGGGAGAGCTGGGAGATGGAGAAATGTACCTGAGGAAATCAGAAGCTATATCAAGATCAGGGAGAGAGATCCTGGAAACAGGGGACCACTCTTTCTTTAGTACTGGAGGAGAGGAAGATGGGTGAATGCAACCAGATGAGGTTTTACATTTCGGGGGCAGGCAGCTGAGAAAGTTCACTCCAGACAGTCTTGATTTTCTGGGCTTAAAACTGGTCCCAGGTATAGTTGGCCGCCTCTTAAAGACAAGAGGACCTAGGACTGATGACACTCATGGGACTTCAACTTCTGGTATATTTTTAGAATCCCAGGTAAATCCTGAACAAGATTCTCAAGAACAGTTTAGAAGTGTCTGGGTACCAAAGTAGGGGATGGGAAAGCTGCTTTAGAGACTGTTAGGTATCAAACAAAGTTTTGGAAGAGGCCAGTATTCCTCCACAGAATCATGAAAGATATAAATTGGTGATAAACCTATGGCCTAGAATTGGATTCTACAGCTCTCATTCCACACACAGCAGCTCTGGAGGTGTCAAGATGGCTGCCTGGTCTCTCCATGCCAGCAGTTTGGAGCCTCAGTAGCTACTACTGCCTCCTAGTCTCCACCTGATGAAAGAAGTTCTGACAAGGCTAAGTGAGTGACCCCAAGGTATCATTCTCCCTCTATCTTCCTGTACTAGCCACATAAGTCACATATGTGACAAAGGAACAGGACAAAAAAAGAGACTTTGGTGAAGACCCATGGAAACCCCAGGAAGAAATAATTTCTCACAAATTGGACTGCAACACCCAGCCCCAGACCAGGGGACTTGCTTAAAGATGAATACCAGCATTTAGGCTAAGGGGTTAGGAAGCCGGGGCTGAAGATGCCAATTCCAGTGCCAGGGCTCAGGTTTGGCTATGGTAAGAATGAAACAGACATGATCTGGGAAAATGTTCTATTTGCTAAGTCAGATGTGAGGCTGCGGAACTGTCTGATCTGATTCCTGTTTAATGCTTTTATGACAAGGAAAGTGAAATCCCCCAAAAGTACTTGCTAGAATACTGAAAATTGTTCTTGATTTTTAATATTTAGTTGGCTTAGTTTGGATAATTTGAGATTTGAGATCTAGCTCCTTCTAAAACACACCATGATGATATTCTCAGGAACCAGCTAGGGTGATGAATTATGTATTCTGTCCATATGAATGGAAGTGACATTTAAAATACGTAACAGGCTGGGCATGGTGGCTCACACCTATAATGCCAGCACTATGGGAGGCTGAGGCGGGCAGATCACTTGAGGTCAGGAGTTCAAGACCAGTCTGGCCAACACGGGCAGCCCCATCTCTACTAAAAATACAAAAATTAAGGCCGGGCGCGGTGGCTCAAGCCTGTAATCCCAGCACTTTGGGAGGCTGAGGCGGGTGGATCACGAGGTCAAGAGATCAAGACCATCCTGGTCAACATGGTGAAACCCCGTCTCTACTAAAAATACAAAAAATTAGCTGGGCATGGTGGCACGTGCCTGTAATCCCAGCTACTCAGGAGGTTGAGGCAGGAGAATTGCCTGAACCCAGGAGACGGAGGTTGCGGTGAGCCAAGATCATGCCATTGCACTCCAGCCTAGGGAAAAAAAAGAGAACTCCCTCCCAAAAAAAAAAAAAAAAAAAAAAAAAAAATACAAAAATTAGCCGAGTGTGGGGGCATGCACCTGTAATCCCAGCTACTTGGGAGGCTAAGGCAGGGGAATTGTTTGAGCCCAGAAGGCAGAGGCTGCAGTGAGCTGAGATGGCACCACTGCACTCCAGCCTGGACAACAGAACAAGGATCTGTCTCAAAAACAAAATAAAACAAAATTTAAAAAAATAAAAAATAAAATATGTAACAACCAGAATGGGCACCAGCCATTTAGAGCTGAGACTCTCTGGGTACATATGGGTGGGAAGGCGAGAGGTGGGCTGGCTTCCCTCTTCCCTTGATAGGGCACAGGTCTCCTTTAAGTATCTCAGGACAGGCTGAGTCCAGGAGGCCAGCAGACCGAGGGGTGAGGTACTTGACATCTGGATTATTCTTATATTTTAATATTGTCCTGATATTACAAATAATAGGGTAAAAATAAAAGTTTCTCAATGTTTATAACTTAAGCTTATCCTAAAGCTTCTTTTACTAGTTAGTTAGTGTGTGCGATTTAGGACTAAAACTTGCCTTTCTACAGGACTGTGTCCAATGTCTTTCGAGTTAAAATCAACCAAAATTAACGAAATTATTGTATTCTTCTTCCATTGAGTAAATATTCTACTTCCTACACCCCTCTCTCATTCCTATTGTCTTCGTTGTCACTAGAGCACTTGGAAAGAGAACTAGGTTCTCTAAGACCTTTATTCTTCTTTGACCATAAGTAACTCAGTAATAACTGCCATCATTTCTGTATTTGGCTCATGATATGAGCCACGCAATGCATTAAATGCTTTAGATTAATTATCCCATATAGTCTTCTTAGCAACCCTATGAGGCAGGTATTGTTACTATCCTCATCTTACTAATGAGGAAACTGAGATCCAGAGAGATATGATAGCCTGCTCAAGGTCAGAGTTTAGTGGTTAAGTGAGAATTTTTTTTTTTTTTTTTTTGAGACAGGATCTTACTCCGTCACCCAGGCTGGAGTATGGTGTACAATGTCATCTCACTGCAGCCTCAACCTGCCAGGCTCAAGTGATCCCCCACCTCAGCTTCCTGAATACTGGGACTACAGGCAAGTGTCACCACAACTGGCTAATTTTTGTAATTTTTGTAGAGATGGGATTTTGCCATGTTGCCCAGGCCAGTCTTGAACTCCTGAGCTCAAACAATCCTTCCGCCTTGGCCTCTCAAAGTACTGGGATTACAGGTGTGAGCCACTGTGCCCAGCCTTGAGCAAGGATTTGAATTGTGGCATCTGACTCTAAAGCTTGTGTTCTCCCACCATGCCACAAGTATGACATTTTCCACAGGTGTCACACCTGGAAGGGTGTGTACAAAAAGCAACTGATGTCCAAAGATGGCAGGTTACTATTATGAGCCCCAAGATGCAGTATAATATAGGCAACGAAGAGACAGTTCCTCCGGTCCACTGATGGACTGCTCCTGTCACGACCTCTCATGGCTTCATGGAACATACTCAGCCACAGGACTTGCAGTTCTGAGAAGACTACACTCTGCAAAGGGTTTCCAAGGTGGACATTTACCTGTTTCTGGAGCTGGGTGTTCCCCTCCTCTTCCCTTGGCCTTTGACTCAAAAATATAATTTTCCTCTTTTCTGTTCTTCCCTGAGGAACTTATGTCTGCAGAAAAGAAAGAGAACATATAATGAAGGTATATGCATCAGAAACTTCAGGAAACAGATGTGAAAATACAGCCTTTTTTTTTTTTTTTTTTTTTTTTTTTGAGACAGAGTCTTGTTTTTTCACCAGGCACTAGGCTGGAGTGCAGTGGCACGATCTCGGCTCACTGCAACCTCCGCCTCACAGCTTTAAGCAATTCTCCCGCCTCAGCCTCCCGAGGAGCTGGGACTATAGGTGCGTGCCACCATGACCAGCTAATTTTTGTATTTTAGTAGAGACATGGTTTCACTACGTTGGCCAGGATGGTCTCAATCTCTTGACCTCGTGATCCGCCTGCCTCAGTCTCCCAAAGGACTGGGATTACAGGCTTGAGCCACCACGCCCCCCCGCTTTTTTTTTTAAGATGGGCTTGGAGAAGAACTGTTTATTTCTCTAATAAACAAGGCCTATGTTGCGACCCATTTAATAAAGCAGAGTATGCAGCTAATACGAAACCACCGACAGAGAAAGGGAAGACACCCTGCACTGGAACTACCACCACGCCTCTTGGAGAAGGAAGGGAGATCTCAGGCTAAAGAGTCACAGGGCGTCTCTGGACATCATTCCATGAAAAGCAGAAACCAGAATGGTTTTTCTTTGAAGAATAAACAAGGAGTATATATAAGGCATTTATTTACACATGGTCTTTCTCTTTCTCACCACAACTCTAGATGGCAGGTATAAATAGCTCAATTTTTTCTGGTTAGACTCAGGATCAGATTCCTACCCAGGTTCACACAAGTAGTAAGTGGGTCACAGGGCTCGGATGCAAACTGGTTTCTTGGTAGAGACCAGTACTTCTAATTTAATGATATATTATTTAACTATTGAGTTATAATATTGAAGGAAAAAATATTATTGACTTTTTTTTTTTAAGACAGTTTCTCTCTGTTGCCCAAGTTGGAGTGCAGTGGCACAACCTTGGCTCACTGCAACCTCCAACTCCTGGGTTCAAGCGATCCTCCTGCCTCAGCCTCCCAAGTAGCTAGGATTACAGGTGCGTGCCACCATGCCCAGCTAATTTTTGTATTTTCAGTAGAGATGGGGTTTCATCATGTTGGCCAGATTGGTCTTGAACTCCTGACCTCAAGTGATCCACCACACCTGAACTATTTACTTTTGAGACAGGGTCTGTGTTGCACAGAGTGCAGTGGCAGGATCAAGGGTTGTTGCAGGCTTGACCTCCTGGGCTCAATCAATTCTCCTGAGTAGCTGGGACCACAGTTGTGTGCCACTATGCCTGGCTAATTTTTGTAATTTTACTTCTCCCTTCATTCCTTTCTTCCTCCCCGTGCCATACTGCTGGGTTAGCTTGCAATGGGACTTCTATACATTCTGCTTTATCTTTCTCTCCAATAATAAATTTGGAATTAGGAAGATCACCTGGTTGGACACTCATGTCCTACTTTAAAAAACAATGAGCCAGGGGCTGGACACAGTGGCTCACACCTGTAATCCCAGCACTTTGGGAGGCTGAGGCGGGTGGATCACTTGAGATCAGGAGTTCGAGACCAGCCTGGCCAACATGGTGAAACCCCATCTCTACTAAAAATACAAAATTTAGCTGGGTGTAGTGGCACATGCTTGTGATCCCAGCTACTTGGGAGGTTAAGGCAGGAGAATCACTTGAACTTGGGAGGTGGAGGTTGCAGCAAGCCAAGATAGTGCCACTGCACTCCAGCCTCGGTGACAGAACAAGACTCCATCTCAAATAAATAAATAAATAAAAATAAAAACAACAATAAAATAAAAATAATGAGCCAGGAACAAAAACGAAGTGCCAAAATTCACCAACTCCTGATTTTTTTCAGAGGATTAACTGGTTTTTCACCCAATAAAAAAAAAATACAACAACTGGATTCACAATGTTCACCCCACTCTGTTTCTTCCCAGTGAAGATGAGAGCCTGCTCACCTTAATTCCTGAGCACTCGGTACTGAGAACACCATTGCACTATTTTATTTTTTATTTGAATTAACTGCCTTACACACTTGGCACTCTCTTACCCTGGTTCTTAGTGAATATCACTGGACTTGAAGGTTCTAGCAAAAATTCACATAGCACTAACATCTACTGAGACATAAATTATATTTACATATAATATCTCATGCAATCTTTGTAGACATATTATGAGAGATTATTATCCTCTTACAGGTAAGGAAATGAAGTTTAGAGAAGTTAATTACCTAGTAGCTAGTAACTGGTGGTGTTAGAATTAGAACCCAGGACTGATCCAAAGTAAGAGTTTTCCATTGAACCATACTGCTCTCAAGGTCACGGCTAGCAAATACGATGTTTCTTTACTCACAATCAGGCAAAATCACACACTTTTAATTCATTTTTAGGAAGGTCTTGGACAAAGCTCTATTGGAAATGCAGTAGAGAAATTGGCTAACTGTACTTGCAAAAGGGACCTAACATCGAAGGTGGGTTCATTTAAAAAACTATGCAAGTTCATTCTGAATCTTCAGTTGACCAAGACCATTTTCTTTTTCTTTTAAAAATGTTTTTGGTTTTGTTTCTTTTTTTTAAAGAGCAATTTTCTTAAATGCCTTTATTCCCTGCGGAGAAGAAGATGCTGATGTAGGAAGTAGGAGGGATCAGGTATCGGGGAGCGGGCAGTGTGCGTGGGAGGCTTCAGAAAGCACAGTTGCCACGGACTCTAGGATTACCCAGGGACCTTGCCCTGCCTTCTGGGCATTTGAAATGTTAATGTCTGCTGTTTACATTTCATAAAGGAATTCACTATGATTTCCCAGACTGCCTGATTCATTTTTCCTAGATTTCTGCATAAGGAATGCCATAGAGAAATGCTTCACTTTCACACATCCAATCACAGGCTCTAGCCAGTGTGGGGAATCAGAACAAAACAAAACAATGACATCACTTGCTTCTGGACATAGTTATTTTTGGTAATGATGCTCTGGAAGAGTTGATGTCTTAGGAAATTATTTTTCCTCTCTTCCAAATGTATTCCGTTTACCATGCACGGCGACACATTCACAGAGGGAGTTGGCAGCTGGATGGAAGCTGTTTCCATTTCATTTCCAGCTGCCAGAGCATTCAGGTATGATCTGGAAGAAAGCTGGCAACACCCGCTGGGGAAGTGGCTACCATGTGGGCCTGCATCCCAGCATGCTCCATAGCTTCCTGTGACCACCTGCTACACCAACCCAACTCACACAGACAGCAGCATGGTCTCTCGTTGCTCAGTGGTAGATCATACTGCATGTCTGCAGAGCAGGTAAGAGGGAGCTCTCTTCAGGAAATGTTCGGTGTCTGCTAGGATGAGACAACAGCGAGCCAGTGGCACCTGGTCTGTACGCTTGCTTACACTGGAAATGACATTTAGGCCTCAGTATAGCCATAAAACTCCTCATTGACAGACATGCTGTTTGTTCATCTTCACTGTTGTACTAGCAAGCTTTGGAAGAGCCTTTACAGAGTGTCTAAAATTAGTTTGAAAGAATTCTAAGTTCATTCATTTTCCTATCATCCCTTCTCCATTGGTGAAGGCAGGATGATAAAAAAAAAATCACTGTTTGTGAATATATTTGTATTTGCCCATAGGATAATGTTTAAATCCTAACAGAATGCTGGGGATATTCAACTAATAATCGAGACAAATTGAACCATGAAACATATTTTAAAACCAGTGGTTCCCTGGGAATAACCCACACATGGGTCAGGGGTTACAAAATAAAATGTACTATATAAACCATTGATAGATTTCAAATAATTAAAATCATTTTACCCCCATTATAGTGTCCAAAACATGCAGACTAAAACCCTGTAGAAGGTAGAGGGTGCCTTTTCCAAGATCACCATCTAAGTGTCCTAGAATAATGGGGTGTGGTTAGAGGCACCTGGTGAACACAGTGATTACATGACAGCTTCCCAAGAATAAGGTCAACAAAAGAGGACTTACTCTTAGAATAATTTTGTGGAAATAACCACTTGAATATTCTCATTTGTGAAAAGTAAATTTCCTTGAACTGGATCTTCCATGCTTTTGAAGATCTGTTCAGTCCCACCCCATGTTGGAGCACGACCGGCTATGTGGATGGTCTGCGTGTCAGGCATCAACAAATTCAAACCGCCTTTCCAGAAACGTGATCTTACAATTTCCAAATGGTTTCTCAGCAAGAAAAGAGAGTCTGACACAATGAAAAGATGGAATACCCATGAAAAGTCTAAGGCAGGTGAAAAAAACCTTTAAAAAAATCCCTTGTAAGAATGTCCTCTCTGAATAAAATGCTTTCTATAAAACAGAAAGGTCAAAGTTGCTCACTCTAGTTACCACCAGAGAAAAGTGAAACAACAGGTGTTGGCATATTTCACAGGGGACCCCATGAACACGCAGGCGGACTCCACACCTCTGAACACAAACCACGCAGTCTCCTAAGCCCAGGCTTCGGTCCAGTCCCTTACAGAACCTGGCTGACCCGCTGTGCTGGACATGGATTCTCAAGTTTCCGAACATCAGATTCCACGGCAATGTGGATATAGCACCGCTTTTCTAGCCCTCTGTAGGCTGGAAACCAGACTTCTTTCCTCCAGCTAGGTTGGATACAAGAGGATGGAACTGTTAAATGAATGACTTGGCCCACACAGAGAATAGGCCCTAAGGCTGTGACCACAGCCAACGACAATCCAGCTATTGTACCTTTACAGGCTGAGCAAACACCGGTCACACTGCAGCTCTGTGCCCCTCCCACCCGGTGGCTCTGAGTGTACTGAGCGTGCATTCGCTGGTATAACTTTATGTCTGCACATACCTTCATTTTGTCCTCAGTAACCTGTGTGGGATAAATCTCCAAAAGTTGAATTGGGTCAACGCACACATAGTTTTGTTTTGTTTTAGAGATGAGACTTCACTCTGTCACCCAGGCTGGAGTGCGGTGGTGCGATTACAGCTCACTGCAGCCTTGACCTCCCAGGCTCAAGTGATTCTCCGACCTCAACCTTCCAAGTAGCTGGGACTATAGGTGCATACCACCACGACCATACCAGTTAATTTCTGTATTTCTTTGTAGAGATGGGGTTTTGCCATGTTTCCAGGCTGGTCTAGAACTCCTGGCCTCAAGCAATCCACCTGCCTTGGCCTTGCAAAGTGCTGGGATTACAGGTGTGAGCTGCTGCACCCAACCATATACATATTTTTAAGGCTTCAGAAACTGCTCTCTGGAAGGCTGTACTAATTGTATTGCCACCAGAAGAGTGTGAGACTTGTTTCTCTCTATTCTTAGAAACATTAATTATTATAATTCTTCATCATTGTCAATGTGATAGGTGAAAAACTACATCTCACTAGTCTGCATGCTACACTGTTAGTAGTAATCTCAGTATCTCGTTAACGAGTCTTCTGTGAGCGAAGTCTTATTTGTCCTCACCACATGTCTGTGAGGGAAGGAGCCAGCAGTGGATTTAACTCATCCATATTTATTGTACTAGCTGATGGTCCTCTTAAAGCCCAGGCATGTGTCATGAACAATAATGCACTTTTAAATCTACTTATGGGTCTTTAACTTACATGAAATCAGAGGCTGTGGACTCTAGTCTAGTGGTCTTAGGGACAGCAGAGGGGGAGGGCAGCAGAGCTGCCATCCGAACAGAAACCACAGCATGTGAGGGCTCTTTCTTTCTTTTTTTTTTTTTAGACGGAGTTTTGCTCTTGTTACCCAGGCTGGAGTGCAATGGCGCGATCTCGGCTCACCGCAACCTCCGCCTCCTGGGTTCAGGCAATTCTCCTGCCTCAGCCTCCTGAGTAGCTGGGACTACAGGCACGCGCCACCGTGCCCAGCTGATTTTTTGTATTTTTAGTAGAGACGGGGTTTCACTGTGTTGACCAGGATGGTCTCGATCTCTCGACCTTGTGATCCACTCGCCTTGTCCTCCCAAAGTGCTGGGATTACAGGCGTGAGCCACCGCGCCCGGCCCGGGCTCTTTCTAACAATTTCAAAATTCTGCTTTTTTCCCACTGTCTTCACCCCAGGACTTTCAAAAATTGTGTTTTTGATAAATATTTAATAATACATGAAAATGCTCATGAGTGAGAAAAAAGTTTTATAAAAGCATTATACTATTTTTGTTAAAAATGAGTAAATATGTATACGTGTATGAATAAAAGTAACCAGAAGAAAATGCAACAAAAATTTTTTTTTGAGATGGAGTGTCACTCTGTCACCCAGGCTGGAGTATAGTGGTACGATCTTGGCTCACTGCAACCTCTGCCTCCCAGTTTCAAGCAATTCTCCTGCCTCAGCCTCCTGAGTAGCTGGGACTACAGGCACATGCCACCACGTCTAATTTTTGTATTTTTTTTTTTTTTTTTGAGATGGAGTTTCGCTCTTGTTACCCAGGCTGGAGTGCAATGGCGCGATCTCGGCTCACCGCAACCTCCGCCTCCTGGGTTCAGGCAATTCTCCTGCCTCAGCCTCCTGAGCATCTGGGACTACAGACACGCGCCACCATGCCCAGATAATTTTTTGTATTTTTAGTAGAGACGGGGTTTCACCATGTTGACCAGGATGGTCTCGATCTCTTGACCTCGTGATCCACCCGCCTCGGCCTCCCAAAGTGCTGGGATTACAGGCTTGAGCCACCGCGCCCGGCAATTTTTGTATTTTTAATAGAGATGGAGTTTCACCATATTGGCTGGGCTGATCTCAAAGTCCTGACCTTGTGATCCACCCACCTTGGCCTCCCAAAGTGTTGGGATTATAGGCGTAAGACACTGTGCCTGGCTGCAACAAAATTTTAATAGTGAGTTTTGCTAGATGCTTTTAACTTTCTTTATATTTTTCTATATTTTCTGCAGTAAATCTGTATTATTTTAATAATTAGAAAAAACTCTAATATGTTATAATAACTGGACATCTAATCTCTCTGCATCTGTGAAAGGCCATTCTTTACATCTTCATAACCAAATCCTAAGGCTGATTATCAAAAAGCAAAAGCAGAGATCATAAATCCACTCGAAATTGGGTGCTGACTCCCATCAACTGCAGGTGGTAGCCTGGAGCATTATTTTCTTTTTTTCCCTCCAACTTTTAAGCTCTGTGGTACATGGGCAGGATATGCAGGTTTGTTACATAGGTAAACACATGCCATGGTGGTTTGCTGTAGAGGTTATCCCATCACCCAGGTATTAAGCCCAGCATCCATTAGCTATTCTTCCTGATGCTCTTCCTGCCCTCACCCCCAACCCTCCTACAGGCCCCAGTGTGTGTTGTTTCCTTCCATATGTCCATGTGGTCTCATCTTTCGGCTTCCACGTCTAAGTGAGAACATGCAGTATTTGGTTTTCTGTTCCTGTGTTAGTTTGCTGTGTTAATGGCTTCCAGCCTGGGGCACTATTTTCAAAGGATTCTGAGCTAAGTCCACACTCCCCATGGGACAGTGCTGGGATCAATGAGCAACACATAGCATGGGTGAGGGCTAATGGGGTAAAGTATGAATGTCAGCCTATTTATCATTCCTCACTTGAAGTCCCTTATTAACAAATGAGGCAACTGAGGTCCAAAGATACGAAGTGACTTATTCAAGATTCTAAAGGTAGAGCCAAGACCTGGGCTTTGGTCTCTGACTTCAGCTAATCTGTTTATGCTCAAGTGGTCCTCTCCACCACAGTGATGTGGTAGGAATTCATCCATCCTGGCCTCTGACAACGCAGATCTCTCCATAAACTCTTCACCCCTTCAGCAGTCCTGCCAAAGACACCTGGTCTCCCCTGGCTCTGTTTTTTAGGTTGTAATGCTCTTCTCCATACAAACTGTCTTAAGCAGAGAAAGCCCACTAAAAAACACATCCAAAGGCTTGCATGTAGTGTTCAATTTTACCAGTAGGCGGCAGTACCAACAAGGAAGAGACCAAAAAAACAGGCACTTGGCAGTGTACTTAAAACTGAGAAGGAAGACGCCCTGCTAGAATGCAAGGTTTTGCAGACATATTTTTATGGAGGCACTTAAAATCTACAAGGTACATAAACAAAAGAGTGGAAGGAAATTACTACAAATATTAAAAGTAGTTTTCAAAAGAGGTGGTATTTTAAGTTCCCTTTCCTTCTTAAATTATTTTTCATCTTCCATATCTTGTACAATGAACAAAAATTTTTCATAATAAACTTACTAAAATTGTGTCAGGTTATTTCCAATAGTACTTATGCAGAGTATGACAAGACATTTACAAAAGCTTTTGGAAATGTGATAATCTCTATTCTGTCTCATGCTACATAATCATGCAAATAATAAGTGTGTAAAAAAGAAATTTAAAAGGATGGAATCCTGTATTATTTATTTATTTATTTATAGAGACAAGGTCTCACTATGTTGCCCAGGCTGGACTCAAGCTCTTGGCCTCATGCAATTCTTCTGCCTCAGCCTCCAGAATAGCTGAGATTACTAGTGAGTCACTGCATCTGGCTAAATCCTGTAATGCTTTAGTCATGTGAATGTATTTTAGACCAGGGCAGTGGCTCATACCTATAATCCTAGCACTTTGGGAGGCCAGCCGAGGTGGGCAGATCGCTTGAGCCCAGGAGTTCGAGACCAGCCTGGGCAACATGGCAAAACCTCGTCTCTATAAAAAGTACAAAAATTAGCCAGGCATGGTGGTCCCAGCTACTATGCCTATAGTCCCAGCTACTCAGGAGGCTGAGGTGGGAGGACCATGTGAGTCTGGGAGGTTGAGGCTGCAGTGAGCTGTGATCACGTCACTGTACTCTAGCCTGGGCAACAGAGTGAGAGCCTGTCTCAAAAAAAAATCTTATTAGCCTTATTTTTCAAGTGATAGATTTAGTTAAATTGGAAGCATAAGGTTGAATTACTAGCATATGCATCTCTTTCAAGACAACTTTTTAAATGTTCACTTGCTTAGGTGAAGAGGATTTACACAAATATATAAGGGTTATGCTCTTTCATCTTAAAACAACCTAAAATTGAACACTTAGGTTTCTGTAAGCTAAGTGGTAATGTAGTTACAAATATGTATTGGTACCTCTGGAGTACGTATATATGTATGAGTGTATTTAGTAAGTACAAATACTGTTTATAAATTAGTGCAGATGTCAAGATTTTTTTCCCACTTTTTGGCCAAATTCTTAATTTTAACTCTTATTTCAAGATACTTCCTTAACACTCTTCAAACATAAACTTAATTGTGAACCAAAGTTTGGCTACAGAAAACAAGATTCTTCGCTGGAGAACCTGCCCTGAGTCCTTACCCGGCATCACAGGAATGACTTGACTCTCTGGTCCCCAAAAGGTGGAATGATTCCTCTTCTCCGTGTTTGATAATGCAGGTGTCTTGTTTGGGGTAGTGGCTTTCTGAGACTTTTCCACCAAGGATTCGTCCCCTGCGTCTTCACTCAGCCCTGTGGTTCTTGGCTGGGCAGGACTAGCAGCCGTGTGGGTTACCATCTTGCGGTCCAGGCCCACTGAAGTGTGAAGAGCTACTGTTAGTTGCTAGATTTCTTTTCTGAACTTTACTACTAAAACCACTACATCTGCAGGTGATTTAAAATCATGGATATTTGGACATAATAGCCCATTCATCTAAGACATGTCAGAGCACCATAAAAATCTATCTCTCTTATTTTCAAATGGGTAATCTGTTCTTTCCTCTTCTAGTAGCTTTCCAAATGTTACACATAAAGAAATGGATAGGGCCCCATGTGGTGGCTTATACCTATAATCCTAGCACTTTGGGAGGCAGAGGCAGGCAGATCACTTGAGCCCAGGAGTTCATGACCAGCCTGGGCAACATGGCAAAACCGCATATTTCCAAAAAATAACAAATTATCTAGGCATGGTGGCACATGCCTGCAGTCCCAGCTACTGAGGAGGCTGAGGTGGGAAGAACACCTAAGCCTGGGGAGGCTGCAGTAAGCCATGATCGTGCCATTGCACTCCAGCCTGGGTGACAGAGTGAGACCTGGTCTTAAAAAGAAAAAAACAGGCCAGGCATGGTGGCTCATGCCTGTAATCCCAGCACTTTGGGAGGCTGAGGCGGGCAGATCACCTGAGGTCAGCAGTTCAAGACCAGCCTGACCAACATGGAGAAGCCCAGTCTCTACTAAAAATACAAAATTAGCCAGGCATGGTGATGCATGGCTGTAATCCCAGCTACTCGGGAAGCTGAGGCAGGAGAATTGCTTGAACCTGGGAAGCAGAGATTGCAGTGAGCTGAGATGCCATTGCACTCCAGCCTGGACAACAAGAGCAAAACTCTGTCTCAAAAAAAAAAAAAAAAAAAAATGGACAAAGACTAAACTTAAATTCAAGGTTTTGAGAATCTTCATCTTCCCTCAAATCCATACTTCATTAAACTTTCATCAGTTTTTCTTCTTTCTTAACAGGGCATTTCTATGTGTATGATATTATAAGGCTGATTTATAGCCCTGATTTAGCCACGCTCTGGTGTACTGTAAATTGTCTTTAAAAATTTATCAAAACAAAACATCAGATCACTTCTGTTTTTAAGAAAGCACATGATATGCAGCATTTTAAGGATAGAAAGAACCTGGAAAATTGAAAAAAATTAAAACCATTAGCAATACTGAAAATTTGACATTTGGGACTTAGACTAGAGACATATTGAACTGTCATTTAAGGCATAGCTTTTACACATAAAGTTATAACTAAAATCAAGCAGCGGAAGGGCACTGCATTTGCATTTCATCCTTAGGACACAGACCTCCTGACTCTATCCCTTCCAGCCACTGCCTGGCAGTGTGACACAGCCAACTCACGATTCTGGCAGAAGTCTTCATCGGACCCGTCGGGACACTGCCGCACTCCATCACAGGCAAGCGTGATGTCAATGCAGCAGCCATCATCACAGAAGAAGTGGTAGCGTGAGCAAGTGTGCAAACATCCTGTTTGTAAACAAACCTCGTCACAGGAGCGCAGGAAAAGTTAAGATTCTTAAGATGGAGATGACAAAGGATAGTCTGTGGGGATGATAAATGCATTTGGGGCTGGGCGTGGTGGCTCACGCCTGCAATCCCAGCACTTTGGGGGGCCGAGGCAGGCGGATCACAAGCTCAGGAGTTTCAAGACCATCCTGGCCAACACGGTAAAACCTCATCTCTACTAAATACAAAAAATTATCCAGGCGTGGTGGCACGTGCCTGTAGTCCAAGCTACTCAGGAGGCTTAGGCAGGGGAATCACTGGAACCTGGGAGGCAAAGGCTGCCGTGAGCTGAGACCACACCACTGCACTCCAGCCTGGCCACAGGGCAAGACTCCATCTCAAAAAAAAATGCATTTGGGTGAAGAGATGCAAATAATGAGGCAAATCTAACAGTTTTAAGCAACAGGTTCTGGAGAGGTTGGAGGGCTCTTTTTGAGCCTCCTGACTTAACTCCTCAAGCTCCTCAGGGGCTCTTGGTCTGAGGGCTGCTCTCCATGCCTGCTTTGCACAGGTGGTGGCACAGAGAAGCAGCAGCCCTGGTCTCTCTCCACCCTTGCCCCTCCGCCTCAGTTGCATCCCTCTGCATTCATTCCTACACCCCACTGTTGGATCCTCTTCCTCTGGCTGTCGACTGCTCCGCAGGAGGCCACCTAACACCATCCCACACACTGGATGGCACTTGGCTATATTTTAACAGAGGTACCATTTTATTTATTTATTTACTTACTTACTTAAGACAAGGTCTCACTCTGTCACCCAGGCTGAAGTACAGTGGCACAATCTTAGCTCACTGCAACCTCTGCCTCCCGGGTTCAAGAGATTATCCTGCCTTAGCCTCTGAAATAGCTGGGACCACAGACATACACCACCACACCAGGTTGATTTTTGTGTTTTTGGGAGAGATGGGGTTTCACCATCATGGCCAGGCTGGTCTCAAACTCCTGACCTCAACTAATCCACCCATCTCAGCCTCCCAAAGTTCTAGGATTACAGACATGAGCCACTGTACCCGGCCCAGAGGTACCATTTTACATATGCTATATCTTACATTCTTGTTTCCTAAATAATACTTTACACTGAGATTAACTTTCTACTATTGAATCCTATTTGTTGACTACTGTAACATCCTTGATACTGTAGAGAATAAATGAAATCTTTAGTTACTGGCTGGCATGAATTTAGTTTCATGAAATAATAAGATTTTCTCCCTTCTAGAGCTCTTAGGAGCTTTTAATTTGCAGTACAATTCACAGGAGCTACAAATATTTTCCTGAAATGCATTTTCCCTCTCCCCTGATTAAGCCAAGTTTATTAGACTTAGCTGGACGAGAACCGGGTTACTATCTGGTACTGGCAACATGGACTAAGGCATCAGGCTAGAAGCAGGTCATAGGAGCTCCACAGTTTTACAGGGACAGAGTGGACTAGACAATTCTCTCAGGAACACGAGGGAGTGGCAGATGATGTGATATTCCTTCAAAACCAAATGGCTAAGCACAGTTCACAAACCCAAGTGAAATCTTGGACACATACTTTTTTTTTTTATGTTGCCCAGGCTGGTCTTGAACTACTGGACTCAAGCAATTCTCCTGCCTTGGCCTCCTACTTGGCCTCCCAAAGTGCTGAGATTGCAGGTGTAAGCCACGGCACCCGGCCTTGGACACATATTTTATTGAAATGTGGTTAAATCAAGAGGTTGAAAAAGGAGTCTGTCTGGGTGTAAGGCAATCTGAAGATACACTGATCCAGGGTAAAGAAAATAAGAAGAGAGGATAAAGAAAATAAATGCTGGTAGAAGCTCCTGCGGAAGAAGAGGAAGCAAAGAGCCTGCAGCTATGACTGAGAACATGGGCCTGAGGAGAGTCAGCTCCGGCCACTGGGAAGAAGCAGGGAGGGGAGGCAGGGGGACACTGTGGATATCAAACAGGACACGGTTTCTCTTCAGGTTTCTTAAATTTGTGGCATCAAAACCCCAAATATCTCAAGTCTTTATTTATGCCTTGGTGGTTTTGGAGATGCATCCGTATTTGTAAATTTTCTATGTTTTTTGGATTTGCAGCCTCCAAACTTTTTTGATCATGCATTCAGATCTTTAATATATTGTTGAACAGGCATCTACAGCTTATTCGAGACGGAGTCTCACCGTGTCGCCCTGGCTGAAGTGCAGTGGTACAGTCTCAGCTCACTGTAGCCTCCATCTCCCAGGCTCAAGCAACAAAAATATAAACTCTCCTATCTTCTTTCTCACCCTAAAAATGTCTTGAACAACTCAGGGGCATCCTATTTGGAGACTGCTGAGCTAGATCATGTTGGAAGAGCTTGATGGCTTGCTATTTGAATAGATCATTTTTCTAAATGTGAAAAATATTCAAAATGTTAACTTATTAAAAATTGAACCAAGTTATGATCATACAGGCAGGGTACCTGCTCATCTGTCTACCCCAGCTGGTGTCACCCTTGGTTACCGTAACATCTGGGTTATTCATTGCAAGACCAATTACATACAATGAAGGTGAGGGAAACACTTGTCTCTTCTTCCTTTATTTTCCAATGTCTATCTGTGGTGTTTTATTAACTTTAATTCATAGCATGTTATTCCAATATAACCAGTAAGTGATTCCAGACAGCAGTTAGTACCACACCAATTCTTTTTTATTTTCCATATAAAGTCACACACACAAGACCTATTTCCAAGCAGCCATTTAGTAATCAAAAGTGATTCTCATGTTACTCTCTGCCACTTCAAATACAGTTTATTACCATCTTGGAGAAAGGCCAGAAATTTACAGCTGGCAATTTACCTCTGGAGCCCAGAAGGCTGCCTGAGTAGATAAACCAGGGCAAGCAAGTGGCTGGTGAGGTGCTGGCCATCTGCTTGTATCAGTGCAGGCCCTCCCTCCCTCCCAGGCACCTCAGTTGCACAAGAGCGATCCTTTTCTGATTTCTGTGGGGATGACACAGTATCTGTGTCTTCCTCTCAAGTCCTTTCCTCCCAGAGTCAGCAGCTGGCTAAGGCCCTGCCCAGGCAAGTCCTCTACCCAGGGAGACAGCCCTCTAGAGGGCGCCCAGCTCCACACAAATGAGCCATCCTTGCTGGAGCCAATGCCCCGTCTCCACTGGTGCTAGTGCCCGTCCAGACAAGGAGCTCAGCAATGTTTTCAGTAGTTGGCTGGCTCTCCTGTGCAGCTGCAATGAACCAGCAGGGCTGATGGAATCCGGGGTGGGTTGGACAGACACTGTTTACTCGCTATCACTGGTGACCTCACAGTGCTGGTGTGGGCAGGAGTTTGGTGTCTGTCCCATTCGTGTCTGGTTACCCTCCCTTCTTATGGTAAGCTTAATCCCTGTCTGGACATGAAGTCATAAGCCAAACAAGTTTTTAATGCAGCCTATGAAAATCATCAAGGTTGACAAGTCCTTAGGATTCTAAAATCTCTATAACTTCTTGGAAAACTTCATTTCCAGCATGCATACTAATCTCTGTTTTTGATAGAAGGCTAGACTCAATATAGTATAAGTAAATCACAGTCCTGACCCAACTCTTTTCTTTTTTTTTTTTTAGATGGAATTTCGCTCTTGTCACCCAGGTTGGAGTGCAATGGCGTGCTCTCAGCTCAATGCAACCTCCCCCTCCTGGGTTCAAACAAGTCTCCTGCCTCAGCTTTCCGAGTAGCTGGGATTACAGGTGCCCACCACTGTGCCCATTTATATTTTTAGTAGAGATGGGGTTTCACCATCTTGGCCAGTCTGGTCTCAAACTCCTGACCTCGCGATCTACCCGCCTCAGCCTCCCAAAGTGCTGGGATTACAGGTGTGAGCCTGGCCAACTCTTTTATTCTCATTCTGCACACTGCTGGCTTAATTACCATCCAGATTCTGAGTTGTGAATATTGAGAATTCAAAAATGTGAGACTTACTGCAAGTTTACCAGAGTGATGGCTAGTGATGGCAAAGCTTTGTAAGACTATAAGCTATAGGAAGTCAGGGACCACAAGTGCACCACTCTATTCCCAGGGCCTGGCAAAGTCCCTGCACACTGCAGACACTGATACACAATGACCAAGTAATAGGATATTTAAACGTACAAGATCTTAGCATCTCTCCAAAACTGAATTGTGTCTGTGGTGAGGGGTTCCCTCTACAATACTACCGTACCTTTAGTGTTCCATGCAACGGATATTTTAAAAATTTTGATGACCTAATCTTTCTTAGAAATGTAGATGTTGGACCGGGAGTGGTGGCTCATGCCTGTAATCCAAGCACTTTGGGAGGCCAAGGCGGGAAGATCACTTGAGGTCAGGAGTTCGAGACCAGCCTGGCCAACATGGTGAAACCCTGTCTCTACTAAAAATACAAAATTAGCTGGGCATGGTGGCCTGTAGTCACTGTAGAGTGTACCACTGCACTCTAGCCTGGGCAACAAGAGCAAAACTGTCTTAAAAAAAAAAAAAAAAGCTGCCTGTGTAAATAAACCAGGGCAAACAAGTGGCTAGTGAGGTGCTGGCCATCTGCTCCTATCAGTACAGGCCCTTCCTCCCTCCCAGGCACCTCGGTTGTACAAGAACAATCCTTTTCTGATTTCTGTGGAATGACAGGGTATCTGTGTCTTCTTCCCGAGTCCTTTCCTCCGAGAGTCAGCAGTTGACTAAATCTCTGCCTTAGTCAACTGGAATGTAAGAAACATAGATGGATGAAATAAGTTTTACACTGTGCAACAGAACATGAGAACCATCATATGTATTTAAAGTTATATTATTAATATGTCTAGGCATGTGTTAAGTGTCTATGAAAATGTGTAGGCAGTGCTTTCAAATTGATGTGTCCTTTTCATATTTCAATTAATTTTAACTGTACTCCTTAGCTGCACTTTTTCTTTCTAAAACTTCTGAAGTGATTAATTATATCAGCCATGGATTACACCCAAGAGCCAAGTCTTTCTTCAATCCTGTGATATGCCTTTTCCTTGTTTTTATATGTATTTTTAATTGACAAAAAGAAGAGTATATATTTATGGGGCGCCATTTGATGTTTTGATATATGTTTATGTTGTGGAATGATTAAATCAAGCTAACTGACATAACTATCATTTCCTCTACTTGTAATCCTTTTGCAGTGACAACATTTAAAACCTACTCATTTAGCAATTTCAAAACAGACAATACATTATCATTAACTATAGTCACTATGCTGTGCAACAGATCACCAGAGCCTGTTCCTCCAGTCTCAGTGACACTCTGTACCCTTTGACCAGCATCCCTCCCTTCCCAGTCCGTCCCACGCACAGCCTCCAGTAACCACCATTCCACTCTCTTCTTTCACGAGTTCAGCTGGTTTCTATACTCCTCAGCTTTCCTCTTGGAACAGATGCAACAAATGGACCACCCATCTTTAAACAAAATCCTCTCCTACAATAGCCAGGCAATTGTCTTTGATGAAGTAAAGTCAAGAAAAGTGGGAGCGCCTCTTCTCATCCCCTGGACGACTTTTTCTACCCCAACCCAGTGGCACCAACTAAGCCCAAAACAGAACAGAGCCTGCTTTTGTTATTGTATTTTTAGCAAAGACTCTCTCATTCAGCAGTAACCAAAAATAAAATGGAATAGCCCATGAGGTGCAGAGCAGAATGCAAAATGCCAACCTGACACCACCCTTCCATAAGCAGGGGGAAGTGAGGGAAGGACTTTCTTCTCACCTCCCATAGAGTAGGCTGTGGGAAGCACCGTTACTGACACGTTGTCAGAGCTTTTCTGCCCGGCAGTGTCCGTCACGGTCAGCTGGAAGGTGTAGGTTCCCTCCTGTAGGTGGGACAGCTTCAGGGTTCCTGATTGAAGCACCTGCCACAAAGAGGGGACACATCACATTGAGCAGCTGACCTGAGCCCTGAGTCCTACACCATTCTCAACCGGAAGTCCATGTCTCAGGGCAGCCCAGGACCTGCCTCTGCACTCCAGCCTGAGGCTGCTGAACTACATCACACACTGTTGGCAGCTGCCCCACCTTGAACTCACCAGTTCTTCTTTATTTAGGCAACCAGGGCCTTGACTGACAATCTCGTCACTTGTCCGCAGCAGCTGCTGCTCCAAACCTGCACTTCATCCCCAGCTTCATGCTCAGGATCCAGGCCCTTCCGTCTCAGCAGGGGATTCTCAGCTGATGAGAATCAGCTTCAGGGAGAAAATCAGGACCGTGACTAGGGTTCTATCACCCATCTCCTCCTAGGACCCTACCTATACCCACTGTCACCTCCTACAGACAGCTGGCAGGGAGAAGCTATCCCTCTTGTGTTCCAGGCCAACCCCTTCTTCTAGTCGTTGCCCCCTTTCTTTCTAGGGCTTTTAAAACACATCGACTCATTCTCTTTCAAATGGCTCTGCTGTAACTATGCTCAAGTTTCTCTCATCCTAAAAAACAATCAAACAAAACAACAAATAAAAAATTCTCTGAGCTCCAAGGGCTCACCAGCCACAGCCTCGCTTCCTTCCCATCTCCACTTGGCTCCCTGAAAGGCCTGGCTGTTTCTGTTTGCTCACTTCCCATTTAGTCTTAGCCCCACCCACGTGGCTGCTTTCCCACCATCCCCCAAACAGTGCTGGCAAAACTCACTAACTGACCTAGCAAAAGTCACCCGGGTGTCAAGACCAGCAATACTATTTTTTTTTTTTAAATCCATGTTAGGCCCTGCACAGTGGCTCACGCCTGTAATCCCATCACTTAGGGAGGCAGAGGCAGGTGGATGACGAGGTCAGGAGATCGAGACCATCCTAGCCAACATGGCGAAACCTCGTCTCTATTGAAAACACAAAAATTAGCTGGGCGTGGTGGTGTCTGTCTGTAGTCTGTTACTCAGGAGGCTGAGTCAGGAGAATCTCTTGAACCCAGGAGGTAGAGGTTGCCATGAGCTGAGATAGTGTCCACCTGGTGACAGAGCGAGACTCCATCTCAACATGATAATAATAATCCATGTTTAACTGGCCGTTTTACTGTATCTAATAACGCTGGCCACTCTGGGCTGTTTGAAAACCCCTGCTTCCTTGGCCTCCTCTTCCTCAAGTTCCCCCACTCATTCCTTGCGGAGGCCCTCCTGGGGGCCTTCGCTCCCTAACCCAGGGCTCCATGCTCGCCCTCCAGTCTCCCACCACTGACAGGCAACTTGCTGAGCACAGCGGGAGCAACAGCTTCTGAGGCTCAGCTCTGTGGTGGGACTTTGCGAGTCATTCCTGGACATTCAGCCTAAAGGCTGTTTCTTCAGCTGTCCTAATGACTATATTATCCATTTAATATTCTATGTAAAAAAAAATTCCTTTCTGTTGAAATGAACTCGTCTGGATATTGTCCTCTGCAGAACGCTGACCATTCGACATTCTATTACACTGATGCATTAATAATGGACTTTGAAATGACAGAGGATGGGATTGCACTATTGTAGGAACTATCTGCTTGTTTTTAATTAGGAAATCCTAGAATTTGGACTGACTTAGGCTTAGAGGATTTGTCAATACTACGTACACGCCCACAGGATGCTTTACAATCATTTAGAGGTGATATAATGAGATAGTGTGGTTGTCATATTTTATGCCATTCTAGTTAAGGTCTGGATTTCCAGGTCCCAGTCTCAGAGAGTCAGAGTCAATGGGTTGTTCAGGAGAGCGGGACCCAGGATTCTACATTTACCAAGCCCACCCAGGCAACCCATAATCACACTGAAAGAAACACTGGAGTGTGGTTAAGAGCACAGAACCTGGTGACCAACAGACATGGGTTTGAATGCCAGCCCTACCCCATACCATGCTTGGGTGATGATGTACAAGTCACTTAATGTCTCTAAACCTCAATTTTTTTCATTGTAAAATGGAAATAATAACAGCACCTCCCTGATGAGGATCAAATAAGATAACTCACACAAAAGAGCTTCACATAGGGCCTGGCCCATAGTAAGTGCTTAAATATATCCACCTTCTCCACTGGGCGATTCTTATCTCTAACCGAACAACATAACACAATTACTCTTTACAGACAAAGAAACGAATCCCCGTGAAGTGAGTTTCATTCACTGAGACAGCAACAGAATGGAGACCTCGGGCTGTAAAACAGTCTACACTGGCCTACAAGCTGTCCATCGCTTTCCCTGTAAAAGCCTTACTCTGGAGGGCCGGCAACGACAGCCACCTGCCCTTTGTTACTTCAAAGAGAGGTTAGGCAATGTTCGTTGCCATGCCATAACATTACTTTCAGTCCCAACTACATTGACAGAATGGAAAACAGAGGTCACTTATGTGAGTGCAAAAATACTAAGGGCAGCAGAGGGAGCTTTAATGGCAATAAGAGAACTTCCAAAGAGCAAGGAGTGGGCCTCTGATCCTAGGAATCAGAACCCACTGAAATAAAAGTGGAAGTCGGTGTGAGACTCAGGACAAGACCGGATAAGGTCTTAATCTCATCAGATAAGACTTGGGGCTTAGGTCTTATCTGTTGGATAAGACCAGATCTTATGTGGTCAGATAAGATCAGAGAGTCAGATAAAATAAGACTGAAAACAAGACTGGAACTCTTGAGACCTCAAGGTTGTATTTGATGATCCTTCTTTCATATCTCAGCTCCAATCCATCAGGAAATCCCATGGGGTCTGCCTTAAAAACACATCCAGAATTTGAACATTTATCACCCTGTCCATGGGTACCATCTTGCTCTGAGCCCACCCTGTCTCTTGCCTGGGTCACTGCAGTGGCCTGGAGGCCTGAGCTCTGGCAGGACTAGGGCCTGGTGCCTTCTTTTTTCTGGAAACTTTCCCTCCCAGGTCCACCCACAGTGAGAGGAGGGTCAGTTATGGCCTCTTTCTATGTATGGGCACCAGGCTGAACCAAGGCAAGACACACAGGGAAAGGTGCAGGTGGTAAAGCTCAGAGCTGTCTAAGTGGAGGGGTGGGGCAGCTGTGTGGCAGGCTCTGGCTCTCTTTAATCCTGGCTCAGAACCAGGCAGACCTTGCTGGTGGGCGGCAGTGCAGTAGCTTATGCCCTCATTCACTGTCTCTTGGGACTTAGGAACACAAGGGAGCATGGCAACAAATGACAGGCACGCTGCAGGTATGTCCAGGTGAGGCCCTGCAGTCTTCAATCAAGTAAGGTGATATGACAAAGCTGCTCTATCCCAGCTGCTCGGCCTGAATGCAGTCAAGAATCCCCAAGACTGCTGGGGAGCAGCACATGCTGCCCTCTGCCATGGTATGTGAGTGGAGGGGTGGGCTGCAGGATTGATTCCAAGAAGAGATTTAGAAGGTGGATGTGACAGGGGGATGCTGAGTCATGACCAGATTCTGAGTGTGAACATCACAGTGAGGTGGAGAGGAGGAGGATCCAAGATGGCCGTTTAGGAACAGCTCAGGATTGCAGCTCCCAGTGAAAGCGCAGAAGGTGAGTGGACCCGCGTTTTTATTGCCCACAGACTAGGAAACTCCCAGGCAGAGGAGGAGCTCCACGGTCGCCAGCGCGGCTGTTTCGGCCGCTGCTTTGCCCCGGGCGGCTGCCTTGTCGGCGCCCCGGAGCCGCGGTTCTCCGTACAAAATATACCGGTCCGGGTGCCCTTTTGGCTGGCGATTGGAGCCACGGGAAGCTCATTCGCCGGTTCAAAAAGGGGACTGAGCAGAGAACCAGGACAGTAGATTCCAGGACGGAAAAAAAAAAAAAGCGCCACAAACCTCAGTGCCACTGTTTAAGCCAGCGCAGTGAGTGGCCGCAGGGGAAAACAAACAGACCCTGCCTCTTCAACAGGCGACTGGAACACCAACTTAAAAAAGGCTCTGAGGCAGGGAGCCAGGCGATCAGGCTCGGCTGGTCCCACCCCCACAAAAGAACAGAGTGAGGTGGAGATGAAGTCAAGAGAGATTTTAAAAAACACCAAGGGGCCGGGCGTGGTGGCTTACACCAGTTATTCCTACACTTTGGGAGGCTGAAGCGAGTGAATCTGTTGAGGCCAGGAGTTCGAACCCATCCTGGCCAACATAGTGAAACCCCATCTCTACTAAAAATACAAAAATTAGCTGGGCATGGTGGCAGGCACCTGTAATTCCACCTACTCAGGAGGCAGGAGAATCTCTTGAACCTGGGAGGCGGAGGTTGCAGTGAGCTGAGATTTTGCCACTGCACTCCAGCCTGGGTGACAGAGAGAAACTCTGTCTCAAAAAAATAAAATAAACCAAGAAAGCACTAAGGCCAGGGAGCTGGGTGTGCCATCCATCTGGCTGCTGGCATCACCCTGTGCCAGAGCTCCCTGCAAAAGAGAGTGAGTCACTGAGCTTCCGGTCGTCAAAGCTCAGCTGCCAACCGCAGCTTTGCAGGCCTGCAGTTCACTAGGAAGCCTCTTGTCAACACTGGGGCTGAAAGGACAGAACATCCCTAGGTCAGGGGCCATCCCCACACCTGGCCTTGGCATGCTTCCCCACTGCCTGTCCAGGCACTGCCTCTCTGATGCAGGAAACACTCGGTCCAGATGCAGATGATGATAATGACCTTCAGCCTCCTGAGCACACTCCAAAATGTCCCTTCCCTGGCCCTTTTCGTTCCTTTAGCTAACGACAGCGTTCTCTCTTTGCATTCAGATATTTAGAGGATGTAGAACTGTCACATGGATGCTTTCCCTTCGAGGGCCCAGGTGACCCTTCTACACATTTTCTCCCATTAGGATGACACTGGAGAGAGGGTTTAAAGTAGTTCACAGACATGTTCCAAGTTTCAGGATAAAAAACTATCTACACATGTACACACAACATATCCAATTTGTAACCTGGAAAAAGACATGATCATAAAAACCAGGAGCTTCCAATCTCTGCTCAAGATCCCT